TATTATATCATAACTAAGATAAACATTCATTCCCTGAGATTATCTAATTTCCACATTTATATTTTCTCAACTGTTTCACCAAAAATTTTAAGAAGTTTTGTTTTTCAAGGTTTAATAGTCCCTTTTAATTTGGAGTAGTCTTCCACTTTTTTTCCTTGAGATTGACATTTTAAAGAAACTGGGTAAATTATTTCATAAATTGTCTCATATTCTGAATTTGTCTGAATATTTGTTTATTTTGCCCTTCAATTTACTCTTCCATCTCCTGCAATTTCTTTAACTGGAAGTTAAGTTTAACAGCTTGTTTGTGTTGAGTTGAACATTGTGGTAAGGTGCTTTGTAGAATTACTGGTCCCTTCCTATTGCATCTCATCAAAAGGCACACAAGCCAGACTGCCACACCCTCAGTCATGCTGTTTGCTAACTTGATTAGGGTTATAGCCTCCATATCACTGCATCTCAATGGTTCACTTTTCCCTTGGAAATTAAAAGATAACCTGTAGAGTAATACTTCATTACATTGCCCATCATTGACCAAATAAATTACTTTATTGATTTTGCAAAATGGTGATTTTTTAAAACTCTCCCGTTCCTTCTGCATGTGTCAGCCTTCATTCTTCTGTAAAAATCTAATTGCCAGGACATTATAATTTATGTTACTTTTTTTGTTTGGAAAAAAATATTAAACCAAAAGGAAACAAGTCTACCAACAGGGCTCATTTCAAAGTTAATGTGCTATTGAAAGAGATTTTCTTTCATAGTCCTTGTATTTCACCTCAATCTCTATCTTTCTTTTAGCATTAATATTAATTTAAACATGATCAGAAGCACTCTTAAAAGTATTAAAGGGGAGCTGTCTGAAATTTTCTAGCTCACTTTCTCTGGGAAACTAGTAATTTTTATTTTTAAATGTTTATTTTTTAAAGACAGAACTAAAGTTTTATAGACCATAAATCCTCAATTTTAGGTTTTATGACTTTCTTACTCTGTGGCATATTTTGGAAAATTAAATCTTTGAAATTGTTCTTTGAGGGGCTTGTACCATGTACTCTTCACTCTTTTTCTTTCTTCCTTTTCTCTTTTCTTTCTTTCTTTCTTTTTTTCCAAAGATGTGCTTGTGGGATGTGTTTAGGCTAAGAAGGAAATGTCTCTTGTCATTTTAATGGAACACTTCTATTATTGCCAAACAGCAAGTTCCATAGACACATGGCAAAAAAGTGGTCAATTTATCATCGTTTGCTGTGCAATTCTCTTGGTTGCTCACTTTTGAACTTCAGGCCTATTTTAATACACGAGTGGAGACAGTTGAAATAAAGCAGCAATGAGGTCAAAGTGATGGGGAAAGAACAAAAGGAATTGGCATTTGTGCTCAAAACTGGCCCAAGATGACTGACATTTAGCCTGGACTTCTGAGATTAGGCCCCCTCCTTCTCCCATGCTCGGATGCTGATTGGATTTGAACTGTTACTTGCTCGGCATGTGGGCCCTGTTACCCTCTCTGTGACCATTACCCAACTTTGTAAAACTTACTGTTTATTCTCCAGCATATCATCCAACACATAGCTATTTGCACCACAGTGTCTGGACCTGTGCTGGGGTCTGTAGGTTTCAGGGCTCCAAACAGAGTGGTTCTACCTCTGTGCTGCTGACATCCTGGTAGTGACAGAAAGATAGCAAAGGAGTGAAGGATGGCAGTTTTCCATAGTGATGATTCTATAAAGAAAATAGAATAAAGACAACCTGATGAAGAGTGAGGAGGGAGTTATTTTACAGGATGTGGCCAGAAAGGGACTCTCTGAGCAGTACTTGGGTGATGAGAAGTTGTCAGCCACGCGTCTGAGAAGGGGATGCCATTCCATGCAGAGGAAACTGCAAGTGCAAAGGTTCTAGCTGAAAATGAATTTGGCATGTTGAGGTGGCAGAAAGGAGGCTACATGATTGGAGCGTAACAAACAAGGAGAAGAGTAGCAGGAAATGAGATCTGAGAAGATCCGCGAAGGGATCTGATGCTGGGGGCCCTTGTTGGCCAGGCTAAAGACTTCGAAATTCATTCTAATTGCAAAGGGCATCCATTAGTATATTTAACATAAGAGGTGGCATGATCTGTTTTATGTTTTTAAGAAACATATGACAAATGGACTAGAGGTAGGGCAAAGTAGAAGCAGGAAGACAAATGAGAAGCTGCAGTGGTCTCCAGACTTAGATATGGGCAGCTTCATTTTCGATTTTGAATGGCTCCATTCTGTTCTCAGGGAACATGGAAAAGAAAACTTGCTGTCCTTTGTATTGATAAAATAAAAAGTTTGGTATTTGAGAGTGTCAGGAAATGTGATCAGAAAGCATGGTGAATATGGGAGAAAATGAGTTTTTATTAATTGCCTAATATACTTGATTCAGTGAGACAATGTATCTTTCATTCATAAACAAATATTGTCTTCTCTGTGCCAACCACTGTTCTAGCCGTCACCAAAACATACAAGTGTTTTATTTCCTATGTCATTATTTTTTAAATTGTCACTCAATAAAGAAATAAAAGTCTTATGTGGACAAAAATACGTTTAATAGTTGAAAGTTATATCTTATGTATCCCTAATGTTTACATTCTCTATCATTTTTTCTTTGAGCTGTTCCTACTCTATCTTCAAATCCTGTTTTTCCTGAAGTGAAGTGATGCAGATTTGGACAATATTTTTTAAAAATATAATATACTCCAAAAACATAAGATAAGATTAGTAGTAGTAAGTTTAGACTGGCTTTCAAATCCATTCTAATGACAGCTATTTAAATAAATCGTAGCAGCTTAAATTTTTTGAAAGTACAATTGTACCATCTCACCATTCTCTGCCCCCTCCTCCCTTCCCCCCCCACTCCACTCCTTATAGGGGGAGGATTAAAGGGTAAGGCAAGAGAGACCAAGTCAGGCCAAATCATACATGTGCAGGGGCAGACCCTGTCTTTGTTTAAACATGATATTCTGTTCAATGTGGATCTTTTTGCATTAATTTTGATCACTTTAAATGTTGCATTAAAATATTACTTATCTTGATTTCTGAATTTTTTGGCTCCCCTTTAAATTCTACATCCGAGGCAGTCACCTTTCTTACCTCAACCTAGTTCCTGCCCTGTCCCCTGAAATATATATCCCCTCCCCTGCCACCTCCTGTAACCTGAGCCCAGCCCTATATCAGTATATTTTGAAAAGACTTTCTTTGTGCATCTGATACAATGCTAGGCTTAGACATGCTACAGAAAAGGAGGAAAGCTCTAATGGTGTCATTTTTTTAGAGGAAGACCCTTTATTTTGGTATTGATTCTGCAGAAATTTTCCCAGGTCCCTTTCAATAAGCAGTTCTAAAAAAGGTGTGGCAGTCATAAAAGTTTTCAAATAATGTAGGGAGCTTTTAAAACTAATTTACCTTCTTCCTTGCCCTTCATATCTCCCTTAAGGAGGAAAGGGAGGGGAGGGACAAGATAGACAGGGACAAGACATTGACACCCATTTGAAGACATCTCTAGAACTGGAGTGTGGGATCTTTGCCTGGAGAATGGTAGGTTGGGTGTGCAGCTCACAGACTCCTGTCATATTAAGGCCCAACTAGCTACATGAGTCTTTGTGATTCAAGGTGAGTTGAGCGTTTACAGTTTCTATGAGGACCCAGCATAGTGGAGTTGAAAGGATGACGACACTCTATCTCTTGTGTAATCTGGGTTCCTGGTCACTTTATCTCCTCAGATTAAGACCCAGAATGGTTTGACTCTCCCTCATTTTAGTTTTCTGTGTAGAGCAATAGAATCAGAGTCAAACTACCTGGGTAGTTTGAAACCCAGATCTTCACTTGGTTCCTTTGTAAATTGGGGTTCTCTCTGAACCTCAGTTTCCTCATTTGTAAAGTGATAATAACAATTCCTCCTTCAACAAGTGGTCATGTCTAGTAAATGCTATGACATCTGGAAGGGCTGGCATGACCTAACACGACAGATGTTCAATAGATGTGTGATAATGAATTTGTTAAACTATGTCAAGAGTTGTTTGCACATTTCTACCTGTTTTTATAACGTGATGGATCAAGGCAGGTGTATTTTACATGCCTATTAGTTATTCATACTTGTCCACAATGTCTAAGACCTTGTACTAATACCTTGTATTTGCAGATATTGGAGATAAAATATATGGAGCAACTAGCACAGTAGAATATCCTAGAGTTTCAGGACACAAAAATTGAAATCACGATGTTCTTATTCAACTGCAACCTCAGTGTCAAATCAATATAATGTGTAAGAGGCATGTAAAGCATTAGTAGAGTGTAGACCATTTGATTAATTATTCTTGAAGGAATATTTTTTAAAAAGAAAACAAAATGAAACAAAAGCCCCGAATAATTGTTTTCTACTCTTTGTGATTAAATTTTTAGATGTTTTTATCTTTTGTCTTCAGGTACTAAATCAAACTTCTCGACTTGAAATACAGCTGCTGGAGAATTCATTATCAACATATAAACTAGAGAAGCAACTTCTTCAACAAACAAATGAAATTCTAAAGATTCATGAGAAAAACAGGTGAGTATTGTTTTATTCCAAAAATATTTACTTACTTATGTCCTCTACCTCTCTGCCAACTCTTACAAAAATGAGGTTGAGGTGGTTTACAAAAAAATAAATATAGAGCTAAATTAACTAATATAAAATGATAGGAGGGCTTATGGTGAATACAGTATGTCAACAATAAGATTAGTACTGTTGCTTACACTCTTGAAACACTTGCTTTTTATAACTTTTAACACTAATTTCTCTAATGTTTAATTGTTCAAATCCTACCATATCCACAAAAATTATTTAATTCTATAACTAAGTTCAATGACACAAAATATTTGCAATTTTTGGCAAAATCAAAATATATAACTATAGAGAAAAGAATTAAACCTATTGAATTATTACTCAAACCCCTACTCTTAAGCTTTTACAAAGTTACAAAGTTTTGGAATTCAGATGTTTTGCACTAGAAAGATGAAAAATTTATATTTTTTCCAGAAAATTATTTACATGTTAGGCTGATCAAGAGTTTTGTTTGTTTTATTTTTCATTTAAAACCATTTACTCTAGACATAATAAATCTCTTCGGTCAGCTTTACAGATGTCACAATATGATTATGCTTTACAAAATATGAATCATCTCAGACAAGTGAAATGGGACTTAGAGAACTTGAGTGCCGGGACAGTGAAAGACTTTATTTTAAAGTAATTAACATTGATGATGGAAAGTTCAAAACACTGACTTCTGTAGGTCAAGTATCTTGTATTTAATTGCATTTTCTTCTGAGTATTTGGTGAACTTGAAGAAGTTACAATTCTTGCATATTATATTGGGTTAAAGACCAGTGTATTGAAAGAAACTAATTAAATGCCATTGAGTTAGTGGAACTAGAGTTTCTTTCATATTCCAAACCAGGAAGGCACCTAAGAGGACTACAAGTTCTCCTCTTACTTTATAGATGAGGAAACAGAGACTCAGTGGATGCGGTGACCTGTCCAAGGTCACACAGCTTGTTGATGGCAGAGCCGAGAATGTAATCCAGGTTTCTTTGCCACTAGTCTTCCTTTTCCCATTATAACACATGGTCCCTTCAGACTATCTACAAGGATTTCTCAGCTTTATGCTGAAAGTAGACCCTAATGCCAACAATTACAATTCAATTTCTGCATGAAGAAGATAAACCCGTTGGTTTGGAATCTGGAAGGGGTCACTTATGCTCTATAGCTTGTATTTCTAAGTTTTACATTTATTTATCTTTGTACCCCGTCATGGGGTAAACTGTGTAACTATAAATAAACTCGACAGGACTTGACTCTGAGCTGGCTGCATGATGAAATGTTTTAGAATTGAAAAATACCATTTATCCCACTGCAGTTTCACATTAATCAGACATACGTGTATACAACAGGTATACTTTACTTCAGTTATCCATTGATTTCAGGTCATGCCCCATGCTCTAATTTTGTCAGTAAAAATGAATCCCATTTACAGTAATATATTTCAAGGTGCTATGTATAAAAACTTTCTCCAGGAACCATGAAGA